GGGGGGGGGGGGGGCGGTGGGTTTGAGGGACTCTGCGGGCGGCTGGCCGGAGCGGTAGAACAAGCCCGTCTGTGGGTCCAAGGTGTCCCCCTCCAGCTCGCCCACCTCCAGCACAGCCTCCGCCTTACCTCTAGTATCCAGGGCCTAAAACAGACACACAGCAGCTAAAGGAGACGGCCACTCCAGTGGTCCACGGCGGGCCATGGGGAGCTGCTACAGAACTACTGCCTGGTAGTCATTTTGGTTTGTCCACTTTTTAAAAACCTTCTCTCACCAATAAAACATCTCAGAAGGTTAGACAAAAGTATATAACATGGTAATGGGGGGTATGGGAAACAGACATTCAGCAGATTGTGTGATTGATTGATTCATATATCTATTCTGCCAACAGCAGAGGGGAGGAAGGTTTGATCAGCATTTCTGTGTATTGTGTGTATACACACTCCACTGCTCCACCTTTGAAGCAACTGTTTGTTGTCAGTAATTAACTAACTTTAGTTCTGTCTGCTGACATCTAAATGTGGCATCTAAAGGGGAGATTTTCAGCCTCAGTGTTGGTAAATAATGGCTCTAAATCCGGATTATATGGGGATTATGGTGAAGAAAGAGCAAAGCAAAGCTTGTAATAGAACAGGTTCATTTCATGGCTAATGCAAAGCTCTGTTTGGTGGATTAGAGGTGAGACAGAAGCAGAAGGGACTACCCCTTTGGAATTTTTTTTGTATTCACATAAATATTGATAGAGATTGAGTTTCCCACCTGCGCAGGTGTGGCAAGTTTTAGTTTCGGTTTCACTCTATTTATGGCCCGCTTAAGAGTGAGTGTACTGTGTAGTCTTTACCAGACTTTGTCTTAATGAACCCATGCTTTTATACATTTCACATTAGAAAATCCTGCATTCATGCATACACAGACATGTAGCAGGCCTTTCTCTGAATGCTTTCAGATGAAACAACACTTCTTTTAAAGGGAGGGGTAGTTCCTGTGAAAGCAGAATATACCTTTTCAGAAAGCCCAAAGTGGTTCACAGTACCCTGAAGCACTCACGAGTGACAGTGAAATTCATTTCCTGTGTTTGATCCATTAAGTGGCACAAAACCTGAATATTCCACTCTTTCTTTGTTATTTTCTAGAGGCTTTCAATGGGTGAGAGGATTCTGTTTCTGCTCTGAGGAACCCTCACCGTGTGCGACGCTGCAGCCGCAGAGGAGACAGCCGCCGGTTTGGTTACCACGGTAACTAGGCTGCTGTTACAAGGCTTCCCCAGCGGCTGATTGGAGGACACAACCACATCATTTTCCTCCAAGGGCGCCCCCACCCTGCCGGCTTTGCCTGTAGTGGAGTCACAGTACGAACACGCATGAGAGGATTCCAGGTGAGAAAGCCACGAGCCAGATCTGAGGTTTCAGTTTGATTGTCTGGGAGCAAAGGGAAGCCCGCGGTGGACACTGCATTAGCCTGGCTCACACAGACTTCAGCATACCTGCTGATGTGTGCTCGGAGCTGGGCTCAGCCTCGGAGGTGGAGGGCCTTGGGGACTCGGGGCTGGGCTTTTTCTCCTGGGCCAGCTGGATAGGCACCGCCATCTGGCTCAGGTCGATGGTGTGCTGCCTGAGTTTGGACTCTGCCTTCTCTTTCACTGTTGGCAACACATTAGTTCATTTTGACATGGACCTTTTAACTTTGAACATTTTGTAACAGATCTCCCTGCAGGTCTGATAGGTCTAAACACAGACTGCACTGGCCAATGGGAGCGCACACAGGACAACAGCTCCTCAGGGGCTTGAGCTGTGAAGCATGCCAACCGGGACAAAGCCGAGCAGCAGGTGAGGAGTGAGCAGTCCACAGCCGATTGGGCATCAGCCATTTCCAGGCCTGGATTGGCTGCTGACCATGTGCACTACCTAACCCCATTGGAAGGCTGGATTTCCATGGCAACAGAGTGAGATCATTTAAGTTTGTTTACAACAAAATTCCCAGAAAACTTTGAGCAGATGTGTCCAGACGGAGAGGGGAGCAGAAACACTGGTAAATGAAGGGATCACATCCTCCGGCCCTCTGGAAATTATTTCCCTCTGGGATTATTACAGTATTTCTGATTCTGAATGCTGTTCATTTGAAACACCTGTGACGGAAATTATGCTTTTGTTTTTGAGAAGTTAAACTAAAACGGAGCTAAAAACTGAGTTAGTGGTACATCGCTAACAAAAACAAACAAATCAACAACAGCTGAGGTTCAGATTAAACGAGGAAGGAAATTAGCCTGTTCACAATCAAACAAAAGAAAGAAAAGAGAGGATCTTTACCATAAAGGACTAATATTTGAGAAATGACAATATCACAAAGTCCTTCTATAGACAGAGCAGAATACAACAGACATGGGTATTACCACCAGGAATACGTAGATCTAGTTCCATGTGCTAAACGGCAATTATCTCTTTCAGGGGATTTTCAGTCAGAAGCAGAGATATCATCATCACCATCACCATCATCAAGACAGCTGCCTTTCAGCACAAAACTGAAGGAAATCTTTGTCTTGGATTACTCATCCGTCCTGTTTCACAGGTCTGTCATCAAATGAACTAATTGTAGTAGATGTACGAGTGCTTAAATATAGACCTGGAGGTGCATGTTTCCAGGAAGCGTCAGCTGGCAGAGAAAAGGGCATGCTGAGTCCACACATTTTCTGACGCCTGGGGTGATTCTTCCTGCTGCTTTGTGCGTATTGTCAACATTACGCTGCAGGTAAACAGGTGTCTGTGGAAGTCCCCCCCACCCAATAACATAAAGGCTCACCTGTTGTCTGCTGAAGCTCCAAAAGGGCTTTTATAGTGGAGGTGGCGGACTGGGATTCTCCCCCGGTCACCTCCTGGTAGATAATGGTGGGGCTGGCCTCCACAGCCACTTCCTGCTCAGCCCACTCCTGCTCTCTGGAGGCCATCACCTGCACTACAGTCTGTGGTTCTGACAGAAGAAACAAAGCATTTAGTTTCAGCCTCTGAGGCAGGGCCGGGCAGGCGTCTGAGCTCAGAACAAACTGCTTTACAGAAGGTTTACAGAAGCTCTACAGCTGCCCTGAGCAGGAGCAGCAGAGCAGGCACCGGTCAGCGCAGCCCTGAGGGGCTGGCCGGGGGGGCTGCGGGGGTCTGTACCCTGAGTGCTGCTGTGGGCGCCCTCGCCGGCCGGGCCGCTGCTGCTGGCCTCCGTTACGCTCTCCTCCTTGGTGGAGCCGTCCGGGCCGGACGCCTGGCTCTGGCTGACCTCTGCGGAGCGGGTCACCTGCTGCAGCGTCTCAGTGACCAGCTGCCGGGTCTGCTCGCTCACCACCGCCGCCTGGAACACCGGCTTGGGCTTGATGAGAACCTGGAGGGTGAAAACGGAGCAGTCAGTGTCCCGTAAAGCAGAGGTTTGACCCTTTGGACCAGAGGGTTCTCCAGGATCAACACAGTGGATCCAGGCTGATAAGAGTGTGCTGCTTTGTCTTCAGCAGGTCAGGAGTGGTCACTGCTCCGGGCTAAATACAGTTTGATAAAAACAGTAGGATAATGCATTTCTCCAGGAATGCTGACCGTTTGTGCTATTCCCAGTAGTGGAAAGTTTTTATTTATTTTTCTTTAAAATTCCCTAAAATTAGCTTCAAAATATTGGGTGATTTTCAGAACAGCCAGATGTACTTCAGATTAACCTGACGCTGTAAAGTAAACCATGCGTGGGCTGTCTATATTTATAGACGTCTGGCTGACGCACAACCTCAGTTTCCCTTTGGTGAGTGGAACTGAAACTGAATTCAGCTTAAATTTAGACAGCAGTGACAAATTCATATCAAAACAATGACGTTGTGTTTGTGAAGAGCTTAGCACACGTCGCAGACAGCTCCACTGCTTTTTTTAACACAAGACCTTTGCACCTCAAAAGGGGTTTTTACCTTTAGCCGCTCCTCCCTGTGTAGGTCAAACAGTTAATATGACAACCAGAGAGAAAAACTGAAACCTTCATATGGGACTTGCCCAATCCAAATATATACAACTCCCCTGAAAGACTTTGAGGCAAATATTGAGGGGAAAGCTTTGGGGATGTTCAGTAGGCATTTATAGCATGCATAGGAAACAGAAGAGTTTCAGCAGAACCAGCTACTGTTAGTAAATCTTATATGATAACTGCTTTACCAATGAGAATGCAAAAACACCCACATAAATGGTTGCATAATCAAGGAGCATCACATCACTGAGCTCCTGTCTGTGAGGGGTGGGGGTCATCAGTTTAAAAAACACCAAGAAAAGAAAGTAGCTTTAATCTCCCTCTGTTTAAGTCACAAAAGCCATAACAATAATCACATTTAGTCTGGTCAGTATTTATTTTTCTGGTTCAGCTGATTTAAAAGTTCTGCTTTGTGAAGAAAAATCTATTTGTTTTACCGAGAGCATGTGTGTGAGTGTGAGGGGTGTGTGTGTGGTTAGCCAGGTGCTGCTTTGCACTCCCAATGCAGATTTGCAGTAGAACAGAGGGGGGAAGTAAAGATACTTATTACTGCACTAACAAAAAACCTTTGTTTGTGTTTGAACTCGTTTGACTGCTGCATTTGAACCAAAGCGTCTCCTTTCACTACACATGCAGTTTCTGGCTTCAATGGGATGATATGCTACTGAACGATAGTTTGCTGGTGTATCCATCACCACGAACCAGAGTACTGAGACTGTAACAGAGAGTGTGTGTCAACAAGAGCCAGAGACAACAACATCAATCAGCGCAGGCCAGTTCTCCCCATCTGTGACCAGTTTAGGTGACCAGTGGAAGTGACCCGTTTAGGTGGTTGGCTCCAGCAGGGACTGACGCTTCCACAAGCCATCTCACATGTCTAAAGTATTAACCACAGCCACAGAAACCACCCCATGAAAATATCATGTTAGCACAAGATATGAAACATAAACAAGTGTGTGCTACTATAATGAGACCCTCTGATGTCTGAGGCTGCTGGTCAGCCCTGTGGTCACAGCTGGTGCTGTATCAACATGATGGAAGAAGAATGATCCTGTGGCACTGCACTGTGAACAGGTTTAATCCAACAGGTAAAGACCCATTTCTCTACCCGAATGTGGGGAGTAAGAGGAAAGACGAGCACTGAAAGTCTATCTATAGATCAGGGGATTTCTTCTTCTTCATTTTGAGAACTTACTGTTAATTCTTTGCAAAGCCTTGTTCTAAGGACAAATGAGGTCCCTGACTGGTCACACCAGAGACAACCCTTCCTCCTGAGAGAATCAGCTGTTCTCTGGTGGAGACCTTTATCTCATCTGAAGCTGAACGTCCACGTACCATTTAGCTAATCATCTGAATATTCATATGACATATGATTACTTCCATGGCTTGTGACCGACTATCATGAGATCATTGGTGAACTGTTTGTTGGCAGACTGCTGCTGTTGGACAGAGCTCACCTGTGTCTTGCCCTGTTGTCCATAAACTATCTTGGTCGGGATGATCTTGGTGGCTGTGGACTGGGACCCACAGCTCATGCCTTTGGGCTGGGTGACGATCATCTTGGTGATGGGCCTGGAGGCAGTGATGATGGCTGGTTTGGTCCCCTGAACGGCCTGCAGGCTCTTCTCCCCCTACAGCACAGACACGTGCAGACTTTATCCAAGTTCACCAAAGACTCTGTCAGCTCTGCTCACATTAGAGGGAAATGCGAAAAATATGTTATAGCAAAGGCTAGTGAGCCCAGTTCAGGCACCAGTCACATGACTTCAGCCGTTGTGTAAAGAGCTTGAGACCCTGTACAACGACACGAGCTCCCAGCTCATTCTGTCAGGAGAGAAGGCTCAGTGACTGCACGGCAGATCTCCACTTCAGGAAACCACCCTACTGTTTGTCTGCTGGGATTTAGGACATTGTTCAGTAAACAGATTTGTCCAAAACTCAGACGTACTTGTTAGGCATTGTTCAAATTTGGCCAAAAACTATGGGACAGGTTTCCAAATAACACGTTTCTCTCTAATCCTCAACACAAACACATTAAAAAAAATCTTGTACTCTGTCCTACGTGTAGTCTGAAGACAAATCTGTTTGATACAGCAACTGATGACACCCAGTTTCTGATTGCTTTTGAAAAAGTCTGGTTAAATTCATCCAATTTAAGAAAATACTATGTGTAGAAGCAGGGCTGTGTCACAAGAGGGAGTGAGTGTGTCCGGATATGTGTGTGTGTGTGTGTGTGTGTGTGTGTGTGTCTGGGTTTTGGATGATTTCCTGTGTCTGCCTATAGATCTGGTTTTGTTGCTTGGTACAGAGAGGGCAGATGTCAGGTGCCCATGTTTTCTGTTGACCGCTAAAGCTGCTAAAGCTGATAAAAGCCACGCTAAAACTACGCTAACGTTCATTCACAATTATGTCAAAAGTATGTTATACCGGAAGAGTTAAAATAAACACCTCCAAGCAGTAATGGATTCATGTTCCCTCCTTGGATTCAGTGGTCAGGCAAAGCCCCCTGTCCTTCATGCAGTGACCAGTCTGGTTCGTTATATAATATGTTGTACATTTCTGTTTGTTTATGGCCACGTACAGTATCAGTTCATCCACAGGTAGGTGAACATTTGCAGAAATCTCCTCTCTTTACTCTGTGTAAAGCAGCTGCATTAGCATGTCTGGCTCACCCCCGCGTTCAGAAGCGTGGTCACCACGTTCTTGCCCGGCAGCCCCTGGATGGTCGCCCCTTTGCCCGTGGTTTTCTGCACCACAATCACGTTTGGCTTGGATGTCATGGGAATGGTGGTGATTTTGGTTGTGGTGCCTGGGGAAGAGGGGAACGTTGTGGGTGACAGCCTGACTGGTGAGAGCACAGAGACCTGCCCCCCCCCCGGCAGCTCACCAGAGACGATGTTGCTGCTGATGATCTTTCCGCCCAGCGTGGCCAGAGACTTGGGCACCACCGTGATGATGCTGCCGCTGGTGGTTTTGACATAGGTGGTGCTGCCACTGGAGGCCGATATCCTGGCGCCGATGTTGGGGCTAACCGTGGGCCGTGTGTAGGTGGCCTGGGAAGCTGCACACGCAATAACAAACACATGCTAGCAGAAAAAGCTGGACACAAAAGTGGAATGTGCCCGTGACATCATGTTTCTATCGGCCTCCAGACTGGACCATTAGGTCCTTTCTGGGGTGTTTTGGAGCCCAACCTGTTGGCTGTGTGACCAGCTTGGTGGTCATGATGGCGCCATTGCTACTGACGACCATGATGGGTGAAGAGTTGCTGCTGGACAGAGCCACAGAGGACGGCTTGGGCAGGATTTTACTGGGCTGCACCTGCTGAGTAATTATCTTCACCCCTGAACACACAATGCAAAGTACAACATAAATAAACCATTTAGCCTTTAAACTAAATTAACAAAAAAAAAAGAATAAAAATGGCAGAAAACAAGAGGAAGGAAAGAAATACAGGAAAACTGATCATTAGAGTTGAGAAACAGAGCTGAAGATAAACAAAAATATTACGCTTAAAAGGTAAAGGCAAGGAGGAGAAAAAGAAGAGAGGAAAGAGTGAAAAGGCAGTAAAGGACGGGGAGCTTCTCACCAGACTCCTGTTTGATCTGGATGGTGGGCTTGGCTCCTGTAAGGGTGCTGGTGCTCTGGGTCTGGCTGAGACTGGCCGCTCCTAACGGTGAGCCCTGTGGCAGCTGCTTGGGGGACTGCTGTTTGGGGAAGTGAGCTAGGATCTGAGTGGGGGAGCCCACCAGGGTCTTTGGTGAAGGAAGTCTGGCAGAGGAAACCTTCACTCCAGCCGAGGCTACACCTGCAGGGGCATCAGATGGTGAGACCCTCCTGTCCTAGATTGGCTATTTCTATTTGCACAAATGGTGATGTTTTCTATACAACTTAGCTGCTTAAACATTCAATCGATTTTTGATTAACAACTATGAAGCTGTATATGAAATAGAACATGGGTTCATATGGATTATGCCCAAAGTAACGTTGATCCATCTTAAATGACAGGATTTAGACACAGGTTTATTAACAAAAATGTTGGCTAAATGGAGCCTGCCTCCTGCACAGCAGATCACATTTCTCTGCATCTGCTCTGTGAACAGTCAGTGGCAGAAACCATGACTGGTTGTCTATTAAATAAAGAAAAAAGGTATGGAAAAGGGAGAAAAAAGTCTGCTGACAGTTTGATTTCAGGTTCAATCTTTTTACACTACTGATCCAGCAGCTCATTGACACAGTCATTAACAGCTATTGTTTCCCATAGTTAACAGAAATATAATTAAGGGGCTGAAAAAGATGAAAATGTCTGGATCAAAAAAAGGTTTTAAAGACGACAGTTGCTTTGGAACATCAAGCTGCATATGTTTTCTAATGGGATTCTGCCCTTTCTTAAATATCTGTGTAGCTTCTGGATGAGTTTGTGGCTTTTGGTGCAAACAGAGGAAGGCCCTACATGACGCCATGGTGGACATGACCACTGAGGGACTGGAGGACACCACGCTGGTCACGGCGATGGTGGAAGGGCTGGAGCTGGAGGGGAAGACCACCGTCTGCTTCTGGGTGGGCGTGGTCAGCACTGAGGTGGAGCCCAGCTTGGACACGGCGGCGTTACTGTGAGTGTGAGACTTGGACAGGATATTGGGCACAAAATTGGAGCTCGGGGACGTCGTCACGATGATCACCTGAAAAATCAAACGTTTTAAACAAGCGTGAGAGAAGCTCTAAACAAGTGAGAGGACATGGGTAGAGAGGAGCCCCCACCTTCTGAGTGGTGGTGCTGGTGGTCTGAATGGTGGGCTTGGTGAAGGTGATCTTGACGGGGGACAGGTGTGGCGGCAGGGAATTGGCGATGCTCTGCATGATGTTGCTCATCTTGGGGCTGCTGCTCACAGGCACGGTGATGCTCTTGGACATGGGGGGGGACACCTTGGCTACCTCTTTCAGCATCACTGGAGACGAGCTGGACGAGTTTGTGCGTCTTCGCTTGCGCGGCTTCTCATCCTCGTCAGAACAACTAACGCCTGGAAGGAAGTGGACCATTTGGTACGTTAACATTATTAGAAAAAAGAATTGTTCACTGTTGTGTGTAAATATGCTCTTTCATAAGTCAACTGCCAGTAGATGGCTCTTTAAAGGCTTCCTTTAGGCCATTGAGCATATGGAACATATCTAAGAGGAGCAATGCCCTCTGCATATCATGGGTCTTAATGGAAACAAGCTGTTGAATCCACAGAACTGCCATTTTGTGATGTCATGACTGACAAATACACCTCCCGAATACCAGATAAAACAACAATTACTCCGAAAGATTCATCTCTGTCCATGAACAGGTCCACAGGACACACACCACACCACTCATGCAGCTCTGGTGTGGACACTCACTTTTCACGTAGACGGTGCTCCCACTGGGCAGCACCACCACGTTGGAGGAGGGGCTGGCAGGTCGAGGGGATTTGACGGTGGCTCCTATGGGGCCGCTGGATGCCGTGGCGCTGGTGGAGGTGGAGGTGGTGCTTGTGTAGGAGTAACATACAACAACTGCATGGCAGATATCAGACATGTCAGTCCAGTGAAAACATGAGAGGCACTTTGAGTGTGATGTAAAGTTCTGGATGTCCTATGCATCAGACCTAGGATCCTGTCATCTGAACCTACCAGACACATTAGCAGTTTCACTTTCTTAGGCTAATGTTCCATTACATACATCAGTAATGAGAGTTAATATTGGTCTTTAATAATTAATGTCCTTACATTAATATTTCAGTGTGGTTTAAACATTCCTGTCTTTCTAATGACATAAAAGTTGATGCTACCCAGCTTTTTAAAAAGTGTACTTTGGATTGACCTTCTTTGTTTCCGGTTTCAGCTGGCAACAGAAGGGAGGCGTTTTGATTGGCCGTGGCACTAGCCACGGCGTTAGCTGCCACGGTGAAGGCGGTCTGGGGGACCAGCCTCGGCATCAGAGGAACGAGCCGGCGCCCCTCAATAGACCATTCAGAGGAGCTGTTAGGACCCGACATGCTGCAAGATAAAGCAACAGAAAAACATTAGCCTCCCTCTGGAACAATATTGGTCCACCTGTGGGAATTACAGCCCAGTCCACTGCTTCAGAACCAGACAAATCCACAGAACAAAGCCCACAACAAGGGAACAAAAGGTCTGCAGCTATGCAGCCGCCGGCACGCACCGACAGTGCTAGCTACTGAGTCCAGCTTCACCCGCAGCTGTGTGGACTCGTCTGCCTCATGCTGGAGTCAGACTGAGCAGCAGTCGTCCTTCCAGCTGTGCTTCTCTGTTTTTATCTGCCTTTCCTCTTTGTTAAAAGCTGGTTGCTACCAGCCCCTCCAGCTTAAGCTAACCTTTAACCATTCAGCATTTGATCGTGTCCTGACAGCTGTGGAGCCTGTTAGCTGTTAGCTTGTTGGAGGACTGCACATCTGTCCATCAGAGTTGGAAATAAAACATGGCTGTCTGCTGAAGCTGAGAATAAAGAAAAATACCTCGGTGAACGAAAGAAATGTCTCCTACACAAAATGCTTTTTAACTTTTTTAGGTAGTCTTTAGGTAAAGAATACTTAAGTTTTCTTTTTCTTTTAGGTAAGCCCATAAGGGACGGCCCGATTCAGCTTTTTGCACATCTGATCCCATCCCGGCCTATCAGAGCCTGTATTAAAGTCTAAAGTTCTTTATCTACTTACTTAGTTTTCAGACTCATGTTGAACAGGGATTTACTCTGAAAACAACTTATTGGTTAGGACACAGACCTGTGGTTACAGATGCTAATGCTAATGCTAATGCTTGTGTCGGATCGGACTTAAAAAAACAAAAACAACTGGATCTGGATCGGCATTTTCTCATGCCATTTTTTGGCAAATATTGGTGGCCAATCCGATCCAAATATCGGATAGGGACAAGCCTAAAGCCCACCGAAGCTGACATTTTGGAACTAACAAATCTTTCTTATTATGGTATATTACAGCGATTTAAAGAAAAATCTTCCCATATAAAGCTGAACACTTCACACTGAGCAGCGCTAAGCACAGAGAATGACCAGAACAAGGCAGAGCTCGGCGGTCTGGACTTACTGAAAAGCGATGGTGGTGAGCCGCTCATCGTTCACAGCCCTGCGAACCTCTGCACGGTGGCGCTCTGTTGAGATGCTGAATGGACGGAGAAGGAGAACAGGCTCATTGAACTGAAACAAATCTTTCCAAATCAATTCCCTTTTTTTACTGCCAACACAGAAGAATAAGAATGCATGTGAAGCGGTTACCCAAGGATTTTAGTGAGTTCTGCCAGCAGATCCTTCTTATCCTTTGTCAGGTCTCCTTGAGCTCGCAGGGCACTGATGACCCCAGCGTATGCCTCCAGCTCTGAGGGGGGGGGGGGGAGCACACATCAGGACACCCTGCAACAACTTCACCATCACAGTGTAAAGCACCTCCACTAAACGGTGGTGAATATCCGGCTCTTTTCACTTTGGTCTTACCCAGTTTCCGGAGAATTCGTTTGCACTCATCTCTGCCTAGGTCTAGGATGGTGGGCCACACCACTGGCATGGTACCAGTCAGCACTGGTTTCTCCAGCTGAATCATTGGCTGAGAGGAAAAGGAGGAGCAAGACAAATGATGAGGGCACTGTAGGAAGAGCAAATGTTCCCAAAACCTGAAGGCTTTCCTGAGAGCCTGACAGAACTGATCCCTTCAACTAAAGGCTTTTTGTCAACCTAGGAAAAACTAGAAATCACCATTCTGATGCTTGCTTTGAACTCCAGTCAGTGGTCTTAACCCCCAATACATCAGTATGAGATACTCACTAGTGTGATAAGATCGATGCCTTTCTGCACTTGCTACTAGCTCCTTGTGCATATTAAAGTCACGGTAAATGTGAACAGTGAGTTGAGAGCATCCCCCAGTACTGAAGACTAAATGAAAGATGCAAAGTCAAAGTCATAATTGGTTTAAAAAACATGAGCTCATCCATTTTTCTGTGTACTATAAATGATAGTAAACCAAAAGCTAAGTGCAAGACATGCTGTTCCATGTGAAAACCACTGAGAGACAGGATTTTAGTCTGTGTTTGTAGGGTTAACAGAGCCGATGACTGTGGCAAAACACGAAAAAAAAAGCCTTTCATTCATTGATAGTATGTCTTAAAGAGTTAAATGGGTTTAGGTTGATTAAAACTACACTGCCTACACCATCTACCACATCTGCTGTAATATCTGTAACAGATCTAATTTATTCATACATTGGAAAAATGTGGTACATAGAATTAAAAAATCTGTTTCCAAAGATGTCTGGGCAGTACAGTGTGGAACACCTACATCCACCATGGTCAGTATTAAGTTTTGAGGCTATATTCGGGCTGGTCATCCAGAATACAAAGCCTAGCTCACTCGGATATTTCTCATAGCTACCGAGTTTTAATATTTATGCTGAGGACAACATGTTTAAAGCGACACAGCTCAGCCATTTACACCTGGAAAGTTTCAACTGTCACAGGCCAAACGAGGAGGACTGCCCACCCCACGACCGCTTAACAATGGGAGAGCCATGGCAAGGGTACATTTTAGTTATAACTACTATACTGAGGCACAAATTGAACGCCGAAAGCGGCAGGAAGGTTTAGTCCTACCAAATGAGTAAGACCTGGTCTGCTAGAGTCATGAAGAACAGCACAGGCAAAGAAAGAATTAAAAATATGGTTTTACGAATGAAATGTTGCCCGTACAGCGGGAAGCGGTGCACATATCTGGGTCAGCTCAACCATCACTGAACGTTCCCATGATTCAACGCGTTGCAGAAAATACTCAGTAGCGTTAAAAGGCATTTATAAAACATCTGGCGAAACGCATGAGGCCACAGCACGATTAAACACCATAACACCGGTGAATCGCAAGCACGATTTAATTACGAAAGGCAACATTATCTTAGCCACCAAGCTTTTTCTGCGGGCCATATCCATTTCTTACCATTTGTTAGCAGGGCAACATCAAGGCCTTGGTAAACCCGCGGTCTTCAAATGCATAACTAACAATTATATTGTTTATCTATCTTCACATCGTGTAGCAATTCTGTAGCAGAGTCTGCGAAGAAAAAAGATCCAAAACGACGAAATAATACAATATCCAAGGAGATGTTCCAGTGTTTACGTTGACTGACTGGAAGCAGCAGTCGGCCTGTGGGCGGATAGATTTCTTCTTCGTGGGATTCCTTTTTACTCGATGACCAAATGCTGCCATCTACAGGTTGATGGTTGTAACTAGTTTTAGATTGAAAGTAGTAAAATGATAACAAGCTGGGGGGTCCCTATTCCCTTTAGCTGAGCAGAAGGGACGTCCATTTGTCCCAAAGATGATTTCAAATGAGGATTAATCAGTTTTCCAGCCTTGTTTATATTTTAAATAAGCTTTGGTACAAGGGAGACAGATTCTGGATCATGTCCTTCTCCAAATATGACTTATTTGTATTTTGAATTTAACAAAGAGTTTTCCTAAAAGGAAGGGGGGAGGCCCTGATAAATGTCAGTGCAGTCCACCCATCCGTCATTTTTCAATAAAAAACACTTATTCTAAGTCAGGTTTGTGAGGAGACTGGAGCTCGTCAGAGGGTCAGCAGTGGGACACACCCTGGATAGGTGGCCAGTCCCAGTCCAGTCCATCAAGGGATCATTTTATGAACATTTTAATAATAAACCGTTTACAGGGCAGATTGTGGAAGTAAGATTGATATACTTTTTACCTGGATTTGACACTTCCTTTACAAAGTTTCATCTCGTCATTTTATAAATCGTGTAATATTGTGTAATTTAAATGTGTTCACACACAATAACATGTATTATCACCTGAGGATAGCCTCAGAAATATGACAACAAATGTGAACTGTGAGCAGTCCGTCAGTTGAAAAAGCAAATTTAAAAGTGGAAAAATAATCTACTTTTTGATGGAGTGAAACTGAGAGTAAAAATAACCTGGAGAAAGAAAAATAGGCACACGATTTATCTTCCATTAGTCTGTGACCTCCATCACATCTTCATGCTCACGGTGTTTCTACTTATCACCTCCAGTTACTCACGTGCATTTTTTCAAATGCTTATTCTTCATGAATCTTTTTTCTTAATACAAAGTCAGTCAAAATAAATCAAGAATCTTGCTTTAGGAGGTTTTCATGCTGGATTCACCTCACACATGAATAGATTATTATCTATTTGATTAGAAACATCCTATAAAGTGTGTCAGTTCTAATTAGGACTTCAACATTTATTTGTTACATTATCTCATTATGAGGCCCAAACTGTAATGATAGAAAAGGCCTGTGAAAACATGAAAGAAATGCAAAAGCGTGAGAGACAAAGCAACCAAAAAGAATTCCAACAAATATTTAGAATGACAAAAACTACATGCAGCCACACCAGAGCAATATCCATGTGGAATTTACACAGAAATGTATTTAATCTCATTTAGCTAGTCCGGACACACTCTGTTCCACACGGAGTTTAGAAAACTTCGAGGAGATCCTGAACGCAGCGGGATGGAAGATGGGTTTTCTCCTCTTTGGGCCGTTTTGGGGAGGGGGCGGAAAGCATTTCCTTTTCCCATTTGCACCGCGCAGACGAGCAGCGAGCAGGCGTCCCGCACGGCCCGGACCCCCGAAGACCCCCGCCCGACCCCCGGACCCCTAAAGACCCCCGCCAGACCCCCGGACCCCTGAAGCCCGCAGCCCGCTGGAGGCCCCGTGCGCGGCTCCGTGCGCGGCTCCGCTCCCGCAGCCTGCGGAAACCAAAGTTGAGTTAGCTGGGAGCCCCAGTCCGACGGAAGCTCTCCCGACGCCGGAACAGCCCGAGGGCTGAGGATGGACTGACTTCCTGAGGAAAGGCGAGCTCCTCTGGTTTGTAACTGGAAAGTTAGTCGACCCGTAAAAAGTTGAGAGACGTTGTTCGCACGCGCCGTGAACTTTTCCAGATGTCCGCGGCGGCGCGCGCGGCGCGGGCCCCCTGAAGCCCGGGCCCGGGCAGCAGGCTCCGGACACCCCGCTAGAGCTGGGCCGGAGGAGAGCAGGGGGCCGGGGACATGTCGGCCCGCCGGGGGCTGTGAGCAGCCGGGAGGGCGGACGCCGGGCACCGTGTGGACGGGCTCATGGGGCCAGAGTGAAGCCGCCGCCGGGACCCGGACCGGGACGAGCTGAGGCCGGTATTCTGGTGAGGTGGAGGCGAACTCAGAAGGGAAGCCCAATGAGCGGCTCACACTCCACACTCACTGACAGGTAGAGCTAAGCCTCCGTGTCTCCGCTATTCCCCTCCGTGCGGTTGTCTTTTCTGTTGTCTGCCTGCAGGAATGAGCTCACAGCGTTTAGAGGCGCGTGGCCTGCTGGCAGCTCCACCCGAACCCCCCCATTACCCCCATTATTTAACCATCCCAGACAGCTAATGCACGAATTACTGCCTCAAACTGGGAGCAAATGCTGGAAGGGAGAAAGGGGAACACAGGGGGGGGGGGGGGGGGGGGGGGGGGGGGGCATCCAGCAGGGGGCATCCTCTTGGAAATACTCACTGGAAATTGTGTGAAACGTTTCTTAATATTGGACTTCCCCTAATGTGACTGGAATATCCATGTGTGGTCAGAGTGCAGATGTGCTGTGTCCACACACATCTGTCCCAGTAAAACAGGACTGAGTTGTGGATCCCCCAAAGTTTCCCTGTCTCAGGTCACATGACTCCGGCTCAGAGCTCTTGAGGGCATTGTTCAGCAGAGGGTTAGAGCTGGGGCCGTAGCCAAACGGGCCCAGCTTCTGATCAGAACACTGCAGCAGGGAGTTGTGGCGGTTTTCTGGCACCGGGCAGAGACACTTGAGCAAATGAGTGCAGGAACAGTGAGGGCTCAGTCATTCTAACAGCACCGGTAGAAGCCGACTTTATTATTCAGATTCCATCCCACATGAGTCACCGGTATATTTGTCCTCTCAGAGATCAGGAGCTTCCTTTGAGGAAACGCCAAAATAAAGGCACACATGACTGCCTCGGAAAGTCAAACAAAGTCCTTAGATTTCTTGACCTTCAGCCTACAGACGGACCGGCCTGCTGTCTGCTCCGCTGCTCTCACAACAATAGGTCTCTTTCAATTCCTCTCACAAATTCCACATAAAGATCATGCTCACGTTTAAAATAACTGGATATGGGGTGCAGGTCCTCTCTGGTGAGGGAGGGGTGGCCTTCTGGCTCAGTTATTGATCTAAATTGATTCTAATGGTTATAAGGATGTTGTTTTAGTATTTTTACTGAGGACAACGAACCACATTGGCTATTTAGTTTTACACTAAGGTGGCAGTTTAGTGGAGAGATTTGATCAAAAATGTTATGTAACATCCAGATCGAATGAACTGTGTGCCCATTTTTGATAGGCGTGGCAGATTTTTAATACCATCACTCAGTATTTAAAAAAAAAAAACCTCTATCACAATATGACAACAAATGGCCTTCTTCCTGCCTCAAAACAGACAAAACTCTGCGACAGTTAAAGCTCCCACAGTGAAAGTTCTGTCCCCACAGCCCCTAAATGCTTTTCAAAGGTTTTGTGGAAGGGAAACTTCCCACAATTCAGCTAAAGCACAAACAGATGGAAGAGTTGCCTCAAAGACAGACACCCATGTGGGCAGAGGAACACTCATCTTATTTACCCTGCTGCTAACATTTCATACTGGTAAGGCTTTAGAGCCTCTCAGACACAAGCATGTGTAACTCCCCTCATTAAACCACAGAGGAATTTAAAAGCGACTGCGTGGTTCTCTCAAAAACAATTGAGACCAATTTTATTGCAAATAAGTTTATATAGTGATAACTCTTTCTTAGTTGAATATTTGTATAAGACAATCTGTTTAATGTTCATCAGCTACTTAGTAAGAAAGACTCTTTGGAGCTCCCAGAATCGGTAAGTTCACCTTGTGAGGGTGATTTTATGCACTTATCTATGTCTTTTGTGGGTTTTTTATTCGATCCTGTGTTATCTTGGTTGGTGTAGTGGCTCGGTCACAGCTCGATGATATTAAATGGAGAGAAGAACTGAGCTTGAGTTGCCAACAAGTTTTCTGCAAACGTTTGAGAGATTTTACTCTCCAGATGGGATGTGCTGCTTTTTTTGTTTTTGTCTGCTTTGCCTCAGAGGACCACTAAATCCAATCTCTCAATCTGTCTTTAAAGTTTTTGGATAAACCTCAGGGAGCAAATATAACTGATTAAAACAATCTTTTTTTCTGGTATGCAAACCCTTACAGTTGCACAAACTGTTTCCCTGTAATGGTAAACAGTCTAAGTTGAATACTATGGTTAATATTCACAAGTTGTGTACACTCACGGTTGTCTCTGGATGTCAGGTATAATCTGGACATGTTCAGAGTTTGTAAGGTTTCGGATCACCTGACATTTCTTGACATTTATGCTCAGATTTTCACAGATGCCTTCTGTCTTATTATCTTCTAAATCAAATGGTAGACTACAGGGTTTGCACTGTTCTCAGACGTGTTTTCTGTTTCGTCAGCTGAGTCTTCATGAAAACAGGCCTTATTTTACCGGAGCTTGTGAGCTAAGTGTTGGGGGCAGATATGAAGCCTTCTCCTCACATCAGTGTTCATTGAACCGGTGCACAAGTGGCTCTGTAACGTGCACCACACATGATCAAATAGGACCATGTGGGGTATTATGCAGACAGACTCTGACTTCAATTATGTTAAAGAAATTTAGCATGGAAAATAAGTACTGAAAGTTAGCTATTTCTACAGGTTTTATTGACATTAAATTCTCACCAGATCTAGGTAACAGACCATCCTATCCACAGATGCGAAGAAACCAGACCACAGATGTCCATAAATTCTGTGTGACGATGAGAAATAAGACCTGGAGCTGGAGGTGCAAAATTCATGGGGAGTCCTGACAGCAGCTGGAATCAGTCAGTGATCAGAAGATTGATCTCAGCTGGTTGGGTACCCACTGAAGGCCTTAAAGAGGTCTCCCTGCCAGGTGGACACAAGAGTCACCTCCTGATGGCTAAAACCAGTCTGCTGCCTAGAAATACCTTTGCAACCTTAGTTTTTGCTAAACCTGGAACTGTTTACAGACTATGGTCTAGACTACTGGAGATACCAGTGAGCACTGTGGGGGTCACAAACTTGAAGTGGAGAGAACCTCCTTACCAGAAATGGGTCGTGACATGTACTGGGGAGTAATGGGCTGTTAGCCTGGAGTAACGGCCTGAGGATGGATAAAAATGTCAGAAACTATTAATGGAATTATTGTAATTTGGTGTTCATAAAG